ATCCTAAACAGCAAACTTTTGCAATCACATTGACAAATGAGAAGGAAATGCAAAAGGAGATCCAAAATCCAGAAGAAGTAGAAGAAGAAAGAGACGCGGAGCTCCAGCTAGTCAAAGAAGATGATGAACCGAGTTTCAAGGTCAAATATCTATCCTTGTCATCCTTTGAGGTACCCCCAACAATTCTAAAAACTTTGAGGGAAACTCATAAAATTGACAAGGATAATGACATTTTTGAAATCTTCAGCAAAATTGAGGGATCAAAACATTTTCCGTTAACCATGTTTAACGATAATTTCTTTCCCTCACTCCCACCACATGAATCAATGAAAATCTGGATATTTGATCCTGGAAAGTTTTTCAAAGTGAAGAGTCAAGAAATTAAGCATTCCTATGGAGGTCCTAGGAGTGAAAGTGTGAAGAAGATAAACTATCACGATCCAAGTTTGAATGACTGAACACAATGACAGCGTCGTGCCACGACGTTAAATAAAGCGCTTCTTGGGAGGCAACCCATGCAAGGTACATTTACTTATTGCATTTTATTTTTGCACTAAAAAAAAATCACCTCATTCGTCTTTTCCAAATTCGAACCCAATTCAATTACCCCAAACCTCCTAACCATATCCCTCTTTCTTCAAAATCTATCCAAATCCTCCACCAAACCCCACAAAAAAAATCATAATCTTGTTTTCATCACTGTCCTCTTGCTCCACATACCCTCTAATCCACAAACTCTTGGAAGCAACCACCCCTCTCCCAATCCACAACTTTATATCTTCAAAAAAAAGTGATGGCGATAACGAGCACTAGGGACAGTGCTCCGAGCTAAGTGAGGGGGAGTCACTCATTGGTACACAATTATTTTTTCTACCTTATAACTTGCATTATTTTCTTAACAAAAAAAAATTAAATAAAAAATAGAAGAAATGCTAGTTAGGTTGAAAACCCAAACGGGCAACCTAACCAACATTAGCAAAAAAAAAAGTGAGTAAAAAAAAATGAGAGGCTAGGATGAAAACCTGAAAAGGCTCCTAGGCAAAAGGAGAGAAATGAGAGAAGAAATTAGTTTTGCAGGAGCTCATTTTTTACCATAGCAAGCGGCTGGAGGGAGAAGCAATAACTTTCTATAGTGCGGATGAATTTAAACTGAAAAAGAAAACACTTCTGTTTTTCTTTTTATCTCGTTGACACTCTTTGGATGGTGAAGAACTTTATGGATTTTACTCGAGGACAAGTAAAAGACTAAGTGTGGGGGAGTTGATTGCATTGATTTTTGAGTGTTTATATTTTTACTTTTAATTACTTTTTATGGTGTGTTGTTGTGGTAATTGCACATTTAAGGTGCAATCATTTTATTTTTCTAGTTTGTTGTAATTTAGTAAATTTAGAATCATCTTGAGCAAGAAACAATCAAGAATCAACAAAGGATCATGGAAGGGATCTTACAAGATCAAAGGAAAGTGCAAGGGAACAAGAAATCATGCAAGAAATGTGATTTGGTGACTTACCCGGTCGGGTATAGCCTTTACCCGGTCGGGTATGAAGTGACCCGGACAAAAAGACGTGCAGAAAACACAAAATCGTGGGCAAAATATTTGATTTTGACAAATACCCGGTCGGGTATCTCAAATACCCGGTCGGGTATCCGGTGCAGCACCTTCAAAACACCTATAAATAGCCCCATTTTCCTTCACTTTTAAGCATCCCTTCTTCCATACTCTTAAGCTCAGTTTAGAATAGTATTTCTTTTATATTTTTATAGTATGTTTAGTCTCCAAATGAGGAACTAAACTCTTCCATCTTGGTTTTGCTACTTTGAAGCTTAATGAATTTGTAAGTTGTGAGTTATTCTCTTTAATCTTCTTCCTTGAATATTAATTCTTCCTTTAAATACTATTTCTATATCAATGTTGGGGAGTGTTACTAAGATGACAATTAGTTAACATCTTCACATTAGTTATAGTAATAGCTATTTCTTCCTCTATGTTAATATTGGGGAGTGTTACTAAGATGACAATTAGTTAACATCTTGATATTAACTATAGTATGATTCATCTTCTTTAATATTCTTCCTTGAGTATTAATTAATTCCTATTCATATTTCATATTAATATTTTGAACATTACTTAAAGGATCAACTAGTTTTGTCTCATATATTAATTATTACTAGAATTAATTGGTTAATACGCTTGTTATTAATTCGGTTCTTTCAATGGTAGTAAAATTGGGTTGTTAATGCATGCGTTTCATGGTTAATAAGCCAAGGGGAATTAATTATATTGATTAAACCAATAAACCGCTTGTGTTGAGGTTATCAATCTCAATCGTTTTCATCTTGATTTTATTGCTACTATCAAGTTAATATACGGCGCTTGTTCTATATTGACTCGGTAGTAAGTTTTATTAATGAACGCGTCTCGTTATTAATAACTACCCTCGATGAATTGGATATACTCCTCGATTGAGTATTCGAGAGGAAGATAGTTAAAGATATAACCAGGATCGACGAACATTTCATTAAGTGGATAAAAGCAAAGCCAAGTCTTCTTCTCATTAATTAAACCACATAACTCGTTCATCTTCGTGTTTAATTTATTAAACCAAATCAAACTAAAACCCCCATTTTATTACTAGTTCTATAAAAAGAAAAGTATTCCTTTCCCTGTGGATACGAACCTTACTACGCTATACTACGTATAAGTGTTGTATTGAATATTATTTTGAGTGCACACCACGACAAAGTGCACGTCAAACAACCTGCAGATGGCCTCGTCCGATGCTCCCAGCATGGATAGATTCCCTTGGTAGCTAATCAGATGGGCCTTGGGATCACCGGCCCCATTGTACACCAAGTTGCCCGGCGGCCTGCAGTCCCGGGGGATCTTGACGCTCATCACCCGGGGGGTGAAGGGTGATGTGAGAGAGAAAGAGGGCGTGGCCGAGCCGGCGTCCGTCCGCCTGTTCATCTCGGCAATCTGCCGCTCCATTGCTTCCAGCCTTGCGTCCTGTGCGGCCCTTCCGGGGGACACAGGGGGCGCGGCTTCGAGGACAGCATTTTGCTGAGCGGCCACAGCACCGTGCGGCCGCCTGAGGATCTGTGCCCCTCGCCGCTGGAATCGTCGTCCAGCGGTGTTGATCCTTGGGGTTTCGTCTCCCCGCGAGACTTGGCGGGGAACTGATGGCGTGTGTGCTCTGAGAGCAGCGATGCTGACCTTGGTTCGCCCTCCCGTTCCACGGGAGCCTGAACCTCCACCTAGCCGCTCGTGGACCGAGGGCCGGTGATCGCTGGACCCTGTCGTATCATCGTACGACTGCATACGGCGAATGGGAGAGAGGGGTGTTCGCTGGGTGCTTGCAGAGTACACCTGCTCCTGAGCCTCCCGTTCGTCTGCCAAACGGCGCATGGTGTCGGCGAGTTCCCGCATGAGGCGGGGATCCTGCCTGGCCTCGAGGGGAATGAGGTCAGTAATACCCCCATTTCCCCCGGAGGTCCAGATCGTTGCGGACAGCTCCGAGTTCTGGCCGCGATTCCGGCGGCTTGACTCCAGACGTTCGGAGAGGTCGCGCTGGTTGTTGCTTCCTGACATCGTGTTAGCAGTAGGTAGATTTAGTAGCTGTTTGGGAGAGTTTCTGGAAACTTTTTGTTCAGCTTCCCACAGACGGCGCCAGTGTTGAGGTTTATTCCTTCAACCCTTGGACCCAACACGTAAGCCCAAAGATTTCGAGTGGAGTGAGTGTATGAGTATGTGAATATCTAGCCCAACAACTATCAGATGGATCAGGAAACAGAGGAAATAGCAGGCAATGTAAATAGGTATTATTAACTTCGTAATAACTCCCCTAAGTACAATCTACTTGCTAAAAAGGCACGTCGGCCGTTCGTCTTACAAGGCAGTTAGAAATGCCGCGAGTAAGAGTGCTAAAGCTAGAATGCTAAGAATAGAAAGTTGCCAACCCTTTACAATGAAATAAATGCTTCTATTTATACCCACCAATGGGCAGGTGGCTGTGCTGGCGTGGCAGCCTGTGGACCGCTGGTGCCCCAACTACCAAATCTTCAGCATTAAATGCACTTCCCGCCAGAATCTAGGTTTCCCGCCTAAGCAATGGGGACGTTCGTCCGCCTGGGAAGCGAGCTGGATCGCTCCAAGTGATCCTCAAGAGGTTTCGGCTGTTCGTCTCCTGGTCTTGTGGATCCTCTCCATGTGGACTGGATTTCCTCGGATGACTACAAGCTTGCCATGGGGACGTTCGTCGTCATCCCCTGGTAGCCCGCGTCCTGTTCCTTGTCCCTGTATAGACGTTCGTCGGGATGAGCCGCTGGGCCTGAACTCCCAACCCCAGACGTTCGTCCATCCTCAAGTAACATGGGCCTGTGGGCTGGCCTTGTGTTCTAACTGGACGTGCGTCTGGCAAGATGGGGTTAGTGGGCCGGACCTCGGCTTGGGCCCTTAACCCAACACGAGTCAATATAGAACACGCACCGTATATTAACCCGATAATAGCAATAAACTTAAGATGAAAACGATTGAGATTGATAACCTCAACACAAGCGGTTTATTGGTTTAATCAATATAGTTAATAGTTAATTCCCCTTAGATTATTAACCATGAGACGCATGCGTTAATAATCCAAGTTTACTACCGCGAAAAGACCGAATGATTAACAAGCGTATTCGTCGATCGATTCTAGTAATAATTAATATATGAAACAAAACTAGTTGATCCTTTAAGTAATGCTCAAAATATTAATATGAAATATGAATATGAATTAATTAATATTCAAGGAAGAATATTAAAGAAGATAAATCCTACTATAACTAATGTCAAGATGTTAACTAATTGTCATCTTAGCAACACTCCCCAACATTAATATAGAGGAAGAAAATAAATATTACTATAACTAATGTCGAGATGTTAACTAATTGTCATCGTAGCAACACTCCCCAACATTAATATAGAGATAGTATATTAAGGAAAAAATTAATATTCAAGGAAGAAGATTAAAGAAAATAACTCACAACTTACAATCCAATAAGCTTCAAAGTAGCAAAACCAAGATGGAAGACTTTAGTTCTTCATTTGGAGACTAAACATGATAGAAAATATAAAGAAAATACTAAACTAAACTGAGCTAAAGAGTATATGTGAATTGGTTATTTTATTGAGAAGGAAAGGGGTGTATTTATAGGCTTTTGGGAACTGCAGGGTCTGATACCCGACCGGGTATGTGACAAATCTTCACGAAAATTTGCTCCCACGATCATTTGTTCTCGGATTTGATTTGGACAATCGAATCAAGCAAATACCTGATCGAGTATTTCCTATACCCGACTGGGTACATGAGTAATTTTTCCAAATCGAAATCTTTCTTGCCTCCTTGCACTTTCCTTGATCTTTTAAGGTCCAATCTCGTTCCCTTGGATGATTTTTGACCTGTTTAGCTCAGAATAGTCCTAATCTAAACAAATTACAAATAATTATGAAAATGAAGTATTACACCAAAAGTGTGTAATTTCCACAACTAGAACTAATAAAAACTAGTTAAAAATACAAACATACATAATTGGAAATTCACACCATCGGGCTGTCTGTGGAAAAGCACTTTGCTAGTCGCACAAAATTTGAACACTCCCAAATGAATGTGAATAACGAAAAATCAACGATCGGATCTTATGAAAACTAGATCTAAAACATAAGTGAAGCTTTGAAGTTTAGACTGAAATCTCAAGAGTATTTCGGGAGGGATTTCATACTATGCTTTGGGTTGGGTATTACTTATTTGTTCGTTTATATTTGCTTTTGTTTCTTCCTTTTCTTTTTTCTATTTTCCATGTTCTTTACTTTGTTGTTTCTAATAAAAAATTCCTCCTCCTCATTAGTGTATATATAATGCGTGAAAATCATTCCCATTTTTCACATTAAGACTTCAAACAAAAAGAAGTCTTCATTTGAAAATTGAAAATGACTTTTGTTATTATGGCCCGGATGCGATTGCATCGCCGTTTTGGATGTGAATTAAAAAAATATTCTAATTGTTGTGTGATGTAGCTGAGCTGCGCAAATCTAATATTGATGTCACAACATTGTTGCAAAGTCCGTATTAAACCATGGATATGCATACACCTATGTCTGTATGTACATACCTGCCTAATCAAGTTAGAGCAAAGATGATATTTGATGTCTCTCCTAAGTCCTTGGGGAATATCTTGTAACATTTCCCACTCATCTTCCATGCCTCCCATCGCTGCCCAGCGTTGCCACTTGTAGTTTCTCACCCTTTGTATTATCTTGGGTGGCAACCGTCTTTTCTTCATCCACCATTCTATGTTTCTCATCTTCAAGTGCACTGCTTGCTTCTTTGACGTCATTGAACGAAAAAACACCTGCATATGCACATTAATTAAGTATTTTCATATCTCCAAAGAGACCAACCATTATTAAGTAGATTCAATTCATCGTTCCAATTTTTTGATAATGACGTTCCTAATTACTACGTATAATTTAATTTCAACATTTTATTTTTGTTCTTTAATTTAATCTCTTGTTTTTCTATTATTTTTTTGTTTTCTATACTAATATGAAATATGAGAAATAGTATAAGAGAAGCTTTTAATCACCTTGGTGCTGCCAATAAACATGGTAACTAGAAGTACCCCACTTGTGAGAATGAGGATCATGAAAATCACTTCAAGTTCATCAGTCATGTTCTTCAAGTTACCAAAACTGCTGCTTCACGTTCAATTATATTATATAAATACAATCAAAAAAATGAGATGTTAAAGTGTTATACTACATATATAATTAGTAAAGATGTGTACATAAAGGGTTGCCTTTTAATTAATTAGTTATGTATTACCTGAGAGTCATGAGTCCCCAAAAGATGGGAAGGAGAATCTTTTCCAAAGGGTTCTCATTCGTAACGAGTTGAATGGTCCATTCATAATAAGTTCCATACGCAAAGTTGTTGTCATCAGTGTCCAAACAGGTCATCCTTACATGGCGGTTCTCCCCCCATAGCAAGCGGGCATTTCTAGAGGTTTGGCCGCTGCAGCTTACGGTGCTTGTTGTTCTATAGTAAAATGGGTCCTTGCAAGTTAGGAATATGGGTCGGCAATCCTTATTCGTTGTGCATTTCTCTTTCAAGCACTTGACAACATTTTGTATTCCTAGCAAAAACCAACATGCCCCTACTGCCTGCACCGTCAAGACAAGGCATGACCATTTTTACTTAGACTCTAAATTAAATTAGATTAAAGCATATTGTCATATCATATTAGAAGATATAAATTGTTGTAGTGTAAATATTAATTCTTTGCATTTACCAATTCCTTGAAAATCTTATCTAACACTCAAGCATTCCAGGCATGTATATATTAAAAGGGCAATAAAATCTTTAAGGTTCACGGATTTCATTAATGGATTTTAGGAATTACATTTTAGCTGCGTATTTGATAAAAACTTCATTAGTTTCAATTCTTACACTGTCACGCCCGGATCATCTTGGATGCGCTCACAACCATCGCACAATCCTACTAAGGCATCCACCGCCCACCTTACTTGAATCATGCATGGCATCATGATATTATTCACACCCGGTACATCCATAAATAATCTTAATAAAAGTACTATAAGTACATATTTGGAAACAATGTACTTCATTAATCAAAATAGTAAGCCACACAAGACAATAAGAGCACACGTACTCCCAAATTAATTGGTGTCACTGAAAAGTTTGTTTTCCTCTCTTGTTGTCTCCCTTCATTGTCCTACTTGTTTATATTGTGACAACAAAGCTTACCTCCACATTGCATCTAATCTCATCTTCCATGAATGGATCAAACATATTGAAATTGATTTCCACTTCATCCGCAATTATATCCCAGTTGGAGCTGTTTCTACTTATCATCGATCTTCTAAGGAGTAACTCACTGATACTTTAACTAAGGCTCTAAGTTTTCATCAGTTTAATTATTATCCAAGCTAGGTATTTGGGATTCTCGTACCTCATCTTGAGGGAGTATTAGCAGTATGTACGGGCATGCAACACCTGGGGCAGTCCACATGCAACACACATGCTTTTGATTTGTGTGCAACATTTTATTCTCAAATCATCCAAAACTCTTCAAGTAGGCATCTAGGTATACCAGTTGTAGATGTTAAATTCAAATTATATGTACGTGCATGCAACCACTAGACATCGGTATAAATGCCCGAGCTCGGGTATGAAAAAGGTGGGGCTTCAAGAAATACAGAACATTGCTTGTAAAGGATAGCCATACATATCAAAGATGCCTTAGAAGATAAAGATAGTTTCAGCGATAGTTCATTCAACTATTCTATTCTTTGTTACTCCGTGTTATAATATAATACATCTTGGTTGCATTGGGTGGACAGTGGAGATGAACATTTGATAATGTGTTCTCTCAGGGTTGGGTGTTTGACGTGACAACTCGCTTGTAAAGCCGAGAGGTTTCTTATTAAAAGATAAGGTAGTAAGAGCTCCACCTAGAGAGCTTGGAGTTCGGGTACGTGACTCAAAAGTAAACTAGGGGTGTTTATCTTGTAACTTGTTAAAGTTTTTTCGTTTAAGGTTTTCAAATTCACTAAGGGATCGAGACTGATGTTTTTTAATCTCCCTTGAACCATGGGATTTTTCTTCGTTAAAATTCTTGTGTCATTAATTTCTACTTTCCCTTTGCCCCACACTAGAACTTTGCAAAAAACGATTCAACCGATTCATACGCAGTGGCCAGATCTTTATTTCTTCCTTGTTAATAGTTGTTTTATATTACTATATTAGAATAGTACTTGAACACAAGTGTATATATTTTATGCGTGAGATAAGAAACCATACAATTAAAAAACAATTTGTTTTCAACTAGATGATGCGTAGTACTAAAATTAAGTAATACTACTTATACTAGCTAGTACTGCGTAATTAAATTAAATACACATTATATCAAGTGAGAACATGTATGTCACACAAGTTTAGACGAGAGCAACCTAAACTTAAAGCAACAAGTTTAGACTTAGTTTAACTAAACTGATAGACAAGTTCATGCGTACTTGAGAGTGGAGCTGAGCAGAAAATTTGAGTAGATGATTGGTATAAAGATACTCCCTCCTATTCAACTTTGACTTACACGTAGAATAATATAGTAAAAATTATGTGATTGGAATTTGTGCACATGAAAGAAAAATAATAAAAGTTACAAATGTTTAGCTTAAAAAAATGACAAAACTTTTTGGAATATAATGGCTAAATATAAAAGTTTTAGGAACTATTAACACATATATATGTACTTACATGAGAGGCGATGAAATATGCCATCATGTTGAGAGCGATCCCACACCAAACGGTGTAGCTAGTTAGGTCGTGCATCTGCCATAAGAGGACAACGGAAAAATAGATCTTTGGAACATATTGGGTGAGGAAGACGATTAAGTGTAACGTCATCACATTTGTGATTAACCCCTTCTCTAGGTATGCTGGAATTGCTACCCATAACATTATCTGCATAAATAAATAAATACATGAATAAATAAATAGATAGAGAGATAGATAGACTACAAACAAACAAACAAACAAATAAATAAATATATAAATAAACAAACAAACAAACAAACAAATAAATAATACACACAATTTTATTAATTTGTACTATTTTCAGCTCCTTGTGTATGAATATAAGAGACACATAAAATTAATCAAATTAATGAAATTTCACCTTTTCTTTCCATATTCATAATTAGTTACGGAGTATTTTTCGCAGTAATGTCTGTTTACATTTAATTAATGCTTGGTATGTGTTTTTAGTCCAACTCTGCTAACGTTTATATAGCAGGAGCTCCTATTTTTAATGTTGGGACGTATTATTTTGTTGATAACAAACAACTAGTGTTACTTTTGTTTTGTACTACCTCCGTCCTGAGTAGGTTCGGCATATTGACTTTTCTTGATCAATGATGGCAAACTTTGCACGATGATTTTAATTATTATACTGGAGTATTTGCATATAATTTATAAATTTTATACTTTAATGAAAATATTTTGAATAAAGAACATTTTGATATAATTTTCATATCCAAAATAATTTCGTGTTAAGAGATAGCATTGGTCAAAGTTGATTGGCATTGACCATGAAAATTCAATTTGGCGAACGTTTTTCGGGAAGAAGGGAGTAAGTGATTGCAGGAAATGAATTTTACTCAAATTCTGTTTTGACATGCATCTCCTCTCACATGGAATATTTCCTTGATAAAAAGGTTTTCCTTCAGACCATCTTTAGCGATTAGCTAATTGCTCTCATAGCTTGTTTAGCCACATAAGCATTTGTAGCAGTATTGAAATATACTCCAATGGTTAGCTATAATTTTTTCCTCTTCATTTATTATTTATAATACTATATTTAATAATTCTCCTTGCTAATGTTAGTAGATAATTTAGGCTAATTAACTTTCTCAAGCAAAAGGAAGAACAATGCTCCAAAGGCTAGCAGCTTCAAAATTGCAAGCAAATTCCTAGAAGCAACCATTGGAGATGCTCTGAAACGGAAAAAAATAATATTTTTTTTAAAAAAAAATAATTTTTAATACTCAGAAGGAAACATCTTTCAAATCCTTTTCATACATATGTCTTGGAAACAAGAGTACCGGAAATATATAAGGAAATCCGACCACATTAAGGAGAGTAGATCAAATCATACACGCACGCGCGCGTATGTGATCATGAAAATAACCACACACACAAACACACGCACACACACGCACGCACACACACACTCTCTCTCTCTCTCTCTAAATTATACTATAAATACACATATATATGTGTGTACATGTGTGAAGAATAATTCATGAATTCCTTGATCTCTTAATATATTAATATTTACATTTCAAAGTTTATGAAAAGTTAATTGTCAATATGTTTTTATATTTAGCATTTATATATTCATTTATTCATATTTAAATAGTTAACTATTCAAGTCTATATTATTTTTTCTTAATTTTTGAAACATTTTATTGTATTGTGACTGATTTATTATATACGTAGTATTTTTTTATAATTATTTGGAGCCAAATTTTATGTAAAATTCAAGTTATAATGAATTCACAAAATCCGAAATTTAAACTAGCTATTAGGTTATTGCGAGGCGGACCCGCTCCGCATGGGATGGGTCATGGGCCAACATCTAATGACCCGTGCGGTTCACAAGGCGGGGCGGGTCTACCTATTTATGTAATGGGGCGGATCCGGGTCCTGCACTACTATACTCGGCCCACCCTAATCCATTGTCATGCCTACACGGAAACGCGAAAATCATGAGGAAACGGGAAAAGGGAAACATCAACTTTTGCTTGTCTGGAGTGTCTTGAAAGAGTTTTCGTAGAGTTTCCTAAATGGATCCGTGCTACATAGATTAACACTAGTGGGAGCCAAGAATGCGAAGTGGAATCAACTTTTTTTTAGAATAGTGGAAGATCAACTTGTGGGAAGGGCTAGCGACTTGTTCACAAGACAATTTTAACTATTTTTTATAAAGAGGTAGGTTTGGTTCTCAAGAAAAAAAAAGGCTGGCGATTCCCTAGGGTTCTAGGGTTGGGTAAAGGGCCGTCGTAGGTGATGGCGTCTTCTTCCGAGTTTCGTACTCGGCGTTGGTGCTTCGGCTTTAGCTTTTGTGATCGACTATCCAGGGGGTTTTGGGTTTGACGTTTTCGACCGAAGGTCTAGGACCTCGTGTTGATTGTTCTGCTTCATTGTTTGTTGTTCGCGTAGGTTTTTCGGAGGCAAGAGGGATGGAGGATATCGCAGACAAGTACAAGGACATGACTATAGGGGATAGAGAGGAAGAGATTGTTTTCAACGAAGAGACTGCTCAGGACGATGAAGCTGCGTCTGACGAAGAAGCATTTCTAGTGGTGGGCACTATGATTACAGATAGATTGGTGAAGTTATCGATCTTTAGAGATCTCATGGCTAAACTATGGAGGCCTGTGAAAGGTATTTCTATAAAAGAGATCAACGATAAAAGGTACATGTTCACTTTCTACCATATTCTTGATATGAAATGTGTGATGGAAGGCGGTTCGTGGATATTTGAACAAAACCTGTTAATTCTTCGGGAGCTTAAGCCAGAGGATGTTCCCCTTCGCGTTCCTTTGAATGAAACTGGGTTCAGGTACATGTTGTTACATACGATTATATGAATTTGGGGACTACCAGAAGGATTGAGAATTTTATTGGTAAATTTATTAATTTTGATATAATAAGAGGCAATTAGATAAAAAGTGGAAACCTTACATGAGAATTAGAGTTTGTCTGGATGTGGGGAAGCCACTGAAGGTGGGCACGACTCTCAGGAAGGGACAGGAAGAAGGGCATTGGGTTGATTTTAAATACGAAAAACTGCCTAGCTTTTGCTTTGTTTGTGGGATTATTGGGCATGCTGACAAGTATTGCCCTTTGGTTTATGAGAACAAAAATATGGAGGTTACTAAGGAATATGGAGTTGGTCTGCGTGTAGGAGGAGGGGGGAGTTCTCGGACTTTGAGAGAAATAAATGGCTAGTCCCAGTAGGACAGGGAAGGAAAGGAGATGGGGACGAGGGTCCGAGCAGAAGGGATGGGGCGCCTTATTTGACTGAGGGCGATAAGGGCCGAGTGAAATCTGATAGTAAAGCTTCAGATGAGGGAGCTTTTGGTGAAGCTAAAAGCAAGAAGACTTGGGAAGTGTCAAGTGGCAAGGGGGATGAAAGGAAGCAGATGGCCCTGGATGATCCAAAAAACGGGGAGGGGGCGGGTTTGGGCAGCTCAACCCGCCGCGATGTTTGAAGATTTTCTCTGCAAGAGGAGGACACCGGAGCTCGTTCGCTCTTCTTAAATTAGTTTTTATTTCAAGTTCCACAGTTTTACTATTATTTTTTGTCTATTTTTTACCAAGCACTTGTTTGTTTTTGTTATTACTATTTTGTTTTGTCAGACTCTTACATTAGGCAGGGGTGATGGGGGTTTTGCTTTGGCCACGCTAGGCTCATTTAGACCCATTATAGGATTAGCGAATCATATTGGTCAGTCTAGGGTGATTCGTTCTCAGGCTGGTCCGAGGGTCGGTGGCTGGAAGTGTTCCTTTTATCTCTTTTTTATCTTTTTTTGTCTCTTGCTGAATGTTTCTTCTATCAATATAAGCCGCATTTGTCCAAAAAAAGGGGGTTGTTCACTTTTTTATATTAAATCCTATCAGGATTAATATGTCTGTTTGGATTAAGATGTCGGTTTGGGTTAAGTGATATTTGTATGAAGATGTTCAATTTTTATCCTGAATAGACGCTCTGAATGAAGTAAAATAGCCAATTTAATTAAGTTGAGGTCTTCATTCGGCTCTGAGGTCATATATCCTGAGTATCAACAAGGTGTGAAGTATTCCGAATATCAACAACCAATGTATAATTTCTTCGGATATGTCCTCTTACATACGAAGTATTAGATTAAAGTAATTTCATAACATAACCATAAAATATATATTCCTCAAACTTAAAATGTAGTAAGTGCTATATATATGTCACATATAGACACAGCATGCAGTCCGTCACATGCATGAATGCCACGAGCACGGCAATCCACCGGCCTGGCCATGCGAGACTACCAAATGGTTATAAAATTTCAACTCATAAAAATAATGGTAGATTGTATGGTACCCAAAAGGTACCATAACTTTGTCCACATAGACCAATGAGAATGTAGCTGTTGAATTATTTAAATCTAAATTAAAAATGATAAAGTGATGTGGTCCAATCAAATGAATCATGAATGGTAGATATGGTATCCCATTTTTTAGAAGGATACCAGAGTTGTTACAAAAAATAATATACTGAGTGATGTGTGTGTAATTGTCTAAGAGAAAATTGTCCAATATGTATGTTTTTCCCTAAATAGGACTAACTTTACTTTTTTACCCCTAGTTCTATTTAATAAATAAATTGATCGAAATAATTGTCCCCCTAATTTCCTTTCACAACCAAGGCAGTCCCTCAGTGGCGGGGGAGTCCGTGGTGGCGGCCACGTCAGCGTTCGGCGGGAAAACGAAGAGCTCAGAAATCGCCAAGATCATGCAAAGTACGAGGCCTGACCTCGTGCACACCAAGCCTGATTCCGACCCTGAGGTCGGGAAATCCCAAGCTTAGGAATTATTCAGAGAAAGCCAATTATGAGGCCCGCCTCGTGCGCACCGACCCTGACCCCGACCCCGAGTACTAATTCTACTCTTAATATAATTAATTGTACTCTACTTCTGCATAATCAGAGCAATCAGTGGGGGCTAAGGTCGCGCATGAATTGAATCGAGTCGAATATCCCTCTATTCGATTTGAATTTGATAACTTTTTTAAATCGAATCAGTATTTGTTTAGTATTTGAACTTAAAAGAGTATTTGCATTTGATTTGATTAACTCTTTCAATATACTTCGTATTTGATTATACATTCGAATATGCATAATTGATCGAATATATCATCATTTATTTTTTTCAAATAATATTACTAATATTATTTTAGTAATATTTTAATTACTTCCTCTGTTCTTTTTTAGTTCATAGTCAACCTTTGCACATTTGCCAACGCACACATTTGACCGTAAATATATCTTAATCTCTATTAATAAAAAATATTCAAAATCAGATTTAAAAAATTTGTAATGAGATGAATTGAACAATAATTTAAAAAAAAAATAACTTCCATAAAATAAAAGTGTAAAATATAGTCAAAGTAGATCATGTGAATAGTACAAAAAGTCAACATGTTGCAATTAAAAAAACGGAGGATAGTATATATTATGCATAGTTTATAATCTTTATATAGAGCCCGTTTGGAAAGATTCAAATTGGCTAAATAGACTGATTCTTATGAAGTTCTAACTGTTCTGAAGAATTATAAAGAAATTATACTTAAAATATACTTTATTAATAGAAATAAAGAAAACATTATACGAGAAAATAGATAAAATGATCATCTACTACCACGACGTTAGAATATATTGAAAGCATAATGTAAGGGGTGAAATTAACATTTTTAATTTGATTCCCGCTCAGTTATATACGGAGTGTCTTAATAAATAAAAGGAAAAATTGATAGTAATAATCCCAACTATTGGCGGTCCGCTCATAATAATCCCAACTATTGATTATTACAGAATAATCCCAACTTTAGGGACCTTCCACCAATAATGGTCCATATGAATAAATTCTTGTAGTTTCTAAAGTGGATGGGGTGAGATATAACAAGTAACCCCTCTAAATAATCTCAACTTTTAATTTTTACGCTTAATTTCTATTTAAAATTCACTTTTTATAGAGGTAATATATGGTCATGGACCATTATTGGCGGATAATCTATATAGTTGAGATTATACAAAAATAATCAATAGTTAGATTATTTTCAGCAGATTGGCAATAGTTGGGATTATTATTTTCAATTTTTCCTAAATAAAAATTCAGAGTAAAATCTAAGAAGTGAGCGACTGACCTGCGGCAAAGGAAGGATGAGGAAGAGCTGCAGGAAACTCCCTTGAAGATACGGAGGAGCAGTGACAGGACGGCCGCAAGTGGCGGTGTCGGTGCGGCGTTTCCTTCTTCTGATCGACGCCAACCACAAGTCGCAAAGATGCACGGCGTCGATGATGCAGCGAAGAACCGTCACGGCTGCGGCGAACCACCCGTCGACGAAGAGGCACATGCAGCTGTCGCTGATGGAGAAAGCGTAGAAGAACAGAGGGTCCACGATTAGGCCCGCGGCGCACAATAGCATCATCAGCGCCGCCCCATTCCAGCTGCGGCATTCTCCTGAGCTCTTCCCGCCGCCGCCGCCGCCAAAAAATGGGCTCAGCCGCACCACCTTATCAGGGAACCTGTTGCTTTCCGCTTTCACTCCCCCACCGAATTCCTCTTCTTCTCCTTCGTCGGTGGCGCAGTAGTAGTCATCATCATAATCATAATTAGGTGAAATTTCGAGCTCTTCGGTGTTTGACATTTGAAATTTGGGGTGTGCGCACCGCCGCACCAGATTACATAAATACTAGAGATGAACAAAAACTAAAAATCGAAACTAATCAACAAACCAACCGAAACCAACCCACTTAAAACCAAACCAACCATATCGAACCAATAGAAACCAAACCAATATATCAATTATTCGGTTCACGATTTTTTTGAAAATCAAATAACTAATTTATTATTAAGCGATAGCAAAAATACAAGAGAATGAATAGCCTGAGGTTACAATGGGATGAGACATAGAACGGAACAGATTTCTTCCAAATCGCTAACCCCGCAATAATGTAGTCTAGTCTAACAGCCTTGATGATCTTCTTGCTACTACAAAGAGAAATTAAAAATTACAACTAAAAGATCCGACTTCACCAGCCACCGGAAAGGGAGAATTGGTTTGACCAGCAACCAACCAAGGGAAATCAGTCGAGTAGAAATTTCTTGAAGCATCGGTTTGACCAGCCACCGAAAAGGAGATCCGCTTGATCATCATCTTCTTCCCACAGTGAGGCGGTGGTTCAGGTGGTGGACGAGTATTTGAAACATCAGAACAACAAGGTTGAAAAAGCTTTACCAGATCGATTACACCGATTAGAAACGCACAACCTCTAGACATTGCTAGGAGAATAACATACCACACGCTCACATGAAGCGGACAAAGTTCTCGGCCAATGAAGAAGCCGGACCAAATTCCTTGAAAATAGAAATTGAAAAAGAGCAAAAGCATAGAAAAACCTTTGATTCGATCTTTCATTGCATAGAGAATGTCTTCATCTTCCAAAATCGGATCTTGAAGAGGGTTGGGGATGGCCGCCTAGGGTTTCCCCTAGGGCCGGCTCTCTATCACGCTTGACTATGCTTCGGTCTTAACCTTTTTTTACGGTTCACGATTTATACCTTTTAATTAAAAAATCGGCCAATACAAAATGGGCCAACAACACGGCCAAAATGGCAAAAATCTATCGAAATGGACTCAAGTTCTGTGGTCCGATTCTCGATTTCATGTATTCTAAAAGTCGCTAAGATAGTAAGATCAACCTACAAAAAAATTGAAGTCGACCAAAACCGATTGAAATCGAACCGATAAAATTGAAACTGTCAAAACAGAAATGACAAACACCCCTAATAAATCCGTATTTTTATATCCACTTGCCTACATCTAGCTACTTCAGCAACTTGTAGCAGAAGACTTCAGTTCCCAAAATCAAGTATAACAACTTATAAAATAAAAATTGCTCTATACAACCAAAACTTATTTAATTCTATTAAAAGATAAAAGATGATTAAAACTTCCTAAAATACGAGTGAATTTAATGAGTCACATTTTAGGAATAAAAACAATGGTAGTGTTATCTATATACTATCCTTGTTTTAGTCTTGTTAAGAGTATTTTTATCATGATAAAACTAATGTCATATTTGGACAAGAAATCATAACTGTGATCATTCCATCGTGAAGTAGCCAAATATTGGAAGATTTATGTAAGTGATTACATATTTTTGATATTGTGATTCCTTGGAATTATACATGTTGTTGACGTTTTGACACCATGCACTTTAATTTCTTTTAAAAGTGACATTGAAGGATTGAAAACTCTTATCTCTAACGAAAACTTATACAAAATATATATTCATTATTTTGATCTCCAATTGCAATTAGTTGGTGTGCTTATTAAACATAAAAAAGTTTTTATGAGTAACTTCTTTGAATATTTGACCATAATTACTAACACGGTGAAATCTTTTAATAATAGAATAGACGAGTTCTGGAAAAAAAACTAATGAAACCATGGTGAGATGTTGCATTATTTTTCTTAGTACTACTACTTGTTCTCTTTTCCATTTAAAAACATAGTAAGAAAATCAATATCATCATGAAATTGTAAGATATTGATAGGATCAGTCACAAGATGAAGAACAACTTTAGTAAATCAAATACAAAATTGTTCACTTGTTTAGTGTGTCTTGATCCTAAAGAAATTAAAGGTTCACTGGCTTCTTAGAGTGAAAGCTATTGAGCATTATAAAGTTATATTGTTGTGATTTTCCATCTGTTAATCGAATAGAACTTAAAGAACAACTTTGAGGTGTGGACTGTGGATATATAAAATGAGAACAAATGAAGTATTTTATTCTATGCAAACTATTGGTGAAGCTTATAAAGAGATGTTGAGGCATAGAACGTTACGGGTTACAACAATTACCTTTAAAATGTACTTCTCTATGATAAATATTATCAAGACATAGGGGAGAGCAAATACCCCAAACAGGTATGGTGCCGAACTGGACCAGTATGCTTTCAAACTAGAAAGCAGGGTTTCAAGTGGACCTTTAATAAAAGGTGACAACTCCAGTACCCATTTAAAAAATGGGGTATCGTACCTACCCTGCATTTGATTGGTCCAAATCATTATATGTTTTTTAATTTAGATTTAAATAATTCAACTGCATCATTCTTATTGGTCAATTTGGACAAAGGTACGGTACATTTGGGGTACCATAGAATTAACCTTAATAAAATTGTGTATCTTGGCCCGAACTGAACCGGGTACAAATCATCACTAAATTATCGGCACTCACAGAAGGAGAACTGGAATAAGATCAGGCCAAAGTAAAGCTCCACTTGTTCAACTATATACTTCATATAATACATTTACGCTATGGTCTAATATTAGTATACTTGTTGGGATCGTTTTTTGCTTAGCTAGTTTGATGTTATAGAACTTAGCTTGATCGCCTACATTTTTACTTAGCTAGTCCTTAATTTATTGTGTTTTAATTAATTTCTTTGACTTGGCTGTCAAATATACTAATATAGAGTTGGTAAATGCAAAATTTGAAATCTTAACTACCAATATGAAGATGAAGAATTATTTTAGACTGCAAGAACAATACTTCGCAAAGATTATTGAATCAAAGATTAATTTATCTATGTTTCATATAATTTCTTATGAATATTATTTATGCACGTGAAGTCGCAATGCTCTATAAAAAGTAAGCAAAATATTTTACTCCCCAATGTAAAATATTTTACATGATACAGTGCAAAATGTTTTTAAAAAGTGTCATTCAGTTTATATTAAATAGTAAAGTCAAACGATGTAAACTTGTTACATCCTTACACTTCGCATGTCAAATAATTACTCTAAGTCAAAATAATCAAAGCCAGAATAATAAATAAACTTACCAACCGGTAAAAACAATAGAACACAAGGACAAGAAGATGAGCGAAGGCAAAGAGGACTGTGGTAGTGCGGATTGATGCATGTTTGGTTAATAGAAACCCTACAAGGTTACAATATACGAAGTAATAATCTAATATCTTTTGCGGTTTAGAAAAGGTGAAATCGAGAATTAAACCACACTACTTGAGCCGGATTTAGTTCGATTTTGGTTCGGTTAACTAGGGTTGGTTTTTGTCAGTTTCAATTGGTTTTAACACGTTTTTCTCATTTTTGTCAGTCTGGTTCGGTTCGGTCAGGTTTTTAACCCAAAAGTGAAACCATAAACCGAACCGCAAATGATTAATTAGTTTGTCAGTCGGATTTGGTTTTTTGTTTTTTTTGTTCACCACTACTTGTAACATACTTCGGACTTGAACCCGGTGTGGTTTTACACTTTCCTGCAATCACTGCAATCCACATATAATTTCAAATGTGGATCTACTTTTGACTTGAACCCGGTGTGATTTGACACTTTCCGGGTGAGTTTACTTTTCATCACTTAATTTAAATGACGCCATTTACGGTAAATTTAAATAAAATTGGTTCAAATAAAAAATCATCTTTCCAAGTAAAACACAAACGAATAAAGAGTATCAATCTAAACATTTAAAGGTTAAAAAAGGCAATGACATTTTAGTAAATAATTAAAAAAAGAAAAGAATCATGTGCATTAATGAACATGAAGATGCAATGTAGTAGGGGAGTAAAGTCATGCAATTTTGTCATTGATTAACATCATTGCTAATGTCAAGGTTCATTACCAATGAGGTAAAGGCACATGTGTGCCTTGTGCACATTTTGCAAGGGAAGCACTCATTTTGCAAGTGGGGCTTTAAGGGGAGTCCAATTTTGTTCACCCCTCTAAGGAGGGTGAACATCTCCATACAATCCATGCCATTTGACACTCTAATTGTCTTTTTTCTTAAAATTATTATAACTTTTATATATATAATCTGATTTTCACAAAAAATATATCAGATTTAATATTTTTTATTATCTTCCCAATGACATCCATATTGCATATAAAAAAATTGAAAAAAAAAATCATTTTTTTCTTAAATCTATTTTTAGTTGGTTTTTTTTAATTTTACATATTCAATATTGGTATCATATGAAAGATCATAAAAAATAAAAAAATATTGATATAATTTTTTAAAAAATTGAATCAAAAATGAAAAACAATTGTTCTCCTCTAAGGGAGTGTTTGCAAAAACAAAACAAAAATAAAAAAGTGATTCTCCGCTTTTGATTTAAAAAAACTGAAATAGATCTTTTCACATATTTTCTGCTTAGATTAATCACTTGAAAATTAAAAAATGGAAGTAGGTGGAGGAGTTTTAAACTGTTTTTCACTTTTCAAATTATACAAAAATCACTTTTACAAAACAGTACTACGTACTTCGTATGAACTTTTACTTTCTTTAAAGCATTTTTTTCGAAAAACGCTATCAACTTTTAGAGTATTAAACAATTTCTTTAAATCGCGTTTTTTTTAAAGTGAAAGCAACACCCTGGGCATGGGGAATGTAAGATTCGGAGTAAATGAGTAATGTGATAGTTGAACAAAAAACTCCAAGACAAAGTAGTTAAAGGGGGCTCAGATATTCATACATGACAATATATATGCTCTTACCAACATCGTATTCACATAAGAGTGAAATGATGATTCCCTTATAATGTTAAAGGTATGCCAAGGCCACTGCCCTGAAGCAAACAAAATGGGACAATGGTTATGGTAACAAATGCAAAAGAAACTTAGGAATCGTGTCTTTTGCGTTTATATTCACTCTTTT